CAAAATATTACTTACAATTTGCCCATCAGGAGGTTCAATCATACTTAATATTCTCAATAACCTCGTTGTACAAAAATCTTGAAAAAAAAAACAACGTAGAGTTGAAAATCCTTCATCTCACATACTAAAATTGTCATAACTTCTAAAATGAATGTTTTTTCCCATAAAGTGTGTCTCTTATTACCTTTTTTATCTAATCGATATCTTGATAATATCAAAATGCATTCAAAATATTGAAATCAAGTATAGGGTCTTTCATTAAGCGCCATCTTTGAATTGAAATAAAACAAAGTGTGTGTGAGATATCATCGAAATTTTTTATTCATTTGAAATGTCCAGGACATCGGCTATGGAGGCACATCTTCACCGGCAGCAGGATTGCAAATCTTAATGAGGTGAAAATAACCAGGTTCAATTCAATGCCACAAAAACCCAGGCATCGGTTTTCTCCAAGAAGATGAATGTATCTGAACCGGATATAATAGTGTCAGGTCAGACAACTTTCTGCTTCGATGAGTTTTTGAGGGTTAAAATGGACACCAATATTTCTTATCACAATCATGTTGCTGGAATTGCAAAGGCTGCTTCTCAAAACACTGTTCCGAACCAGAAAACTGTACACACCTCAGCAACTTTTGATGCTTTATAAAGCTCAGATCAGACCTGCTTTGGAGTATTGTTCTTATGTAGGGCGCTCCGCCCCCAAACATACCCCGAAGATGCTAGATTTTATCCAGAAAAGACCTATCCGCCTGATTGGAGGTGCGAACATCACATGCAACCTTGATAGCCTGGAACATTGAAGAAAGGTTGCAGATTTTTGTTTGTTCACGTACTCATTCAATAAGAAATGGGCCTCATCACCGAAGACGGTTTTTCGATGAAAATTATGGTCAGTTGCCAACTGCTCCAGAGCCCATTCAGCGAACACACGTCGTTGTCTATGGTCTTTTACCTTCAGTTCCTGGTTCAGTTGAATATTATACGGGTTCAGGCCCAAGTCACGACGCAAAATTTGCCAAGTTGTGGTCTTCGAAAGGTCGAGTTCTTGTGAGCGACGCGAAATTGAGTACCTTGGATTATCTTGCGCACTATCATAGACAGCTGCGATGTTTTCAGCAGATATTGCGTTTCGTCGACGTACGAGTGTTGGTCGATCGTTTACTCAACCAGTGGACTCAAATTTATTCACCATATTGCGAATAGTCCTCTCGATAAGACGGTTATGGCGACCGTAAAATAGGCGAAGCTTGTGGTACGTAACCTGAACAGAACACCAATTTTGATAAATCAATTTTATTATTTTCACGTTCTATTGAATGTTATATCCGTCCATGGTGATTTGGCAAAACAGACTGTATAAATGAAAAGTAACTTGAAAAACCCTATATAAGTAGGTGTATTCCGTCCAAATGCAGTGTTCACAATTTTTTGAATGTATTTTACATAAAAGAGTTTTTTGGAATGTTGAATGAGAATATGGTATCGATTTCCATTCATATTGACTCCCAACAAAATTGTTAGGGTACGCCAATGTAAATCCATTTTTTTATATTCCAGTATGTCCTCCAACTCCCTATTTTTTTTCTATAAAAAATATAGGTGTAGTCACTTTTTATATGATATATATCACACATTCCGTTTAAAGACGATTGATATATACCAAGGTAAATAAACAGGGTGTTTCGTATGTACAGTTACGAATTTCAGCAGTTTATTTCCCATGACTTTTTATTATGAATAGAAGTTTCTAATGCACTATATGTGCATTCCTCATCACATATAGTTATTTTTCTCTTTTCATCACATTGAGGAATTACAGCTCCCAGCATTATTATTCAACTTTCCAGAAGCGAGATAAACTCAACACTTATCATTTGTACCAAAAGTTGATTTTCAACAGATTATAATTTTTCAATAACAAATTTCCACGAGTAGGAACCCAAGGAACACATTCGTTTATCAAAATTTCGAGATTCAAAATATGAATATTATTTTTTTTATTATTCGTTCAAACCATGTTCACCAATCAAGCGTCCTAATGTTGATAAATTTTAGCGCTTACTTCATAACACTTTTTCATCATATTTCACATTCCTATTCAATTTTTTTCATATACTTTCAAAGTTAAATCGAAAAACTCAGAACGAGACGAATATTTGATGAACCTTTTTTTTTTTCAGAAAACCTTAGAAATGCAACCGTGCCATCTATTAGTTCCTTTTGTGTTCCTTGCTAGTTATACCGAAGGTGAAGTGTATACAGCTCTTGCCGACCTAGAAGAATTACTTGATACTGAAAGGGTTCTCATTGGAACCTTAGAAAACTACATCAGGGCTGAAGAACAGAAAATCGATCTTTTGAAAAGGTACGTATATTTCAATATATACTACTCTGTTCAAAAAATAAGGTGAATCCAAAAATAAGGTGAATTTTCATTTTTCACAAAAAATATTCATTTATTCATCAATTTCTATTTTGTTCCATTCAGATATAACAGTTTTTTGGGATAGCCCGTCGTATAAAACAAGCTTCGTTGATATATAAATAACTTATTAGTTCAATTAGTACAGATGCTTATAAATCCATTTATATCCACATAAAATGCCAACGAATGAAAATCCAAATGTTACGTTGACAGATCTGCTTGTAATACTTAAGAATCTTGATGCCAAGACAAGAAACCTCGTCGGAATCAAAAGTTGAATTGAGAGAGGCTGATAATAAAATTGCAGCCCTCAAAGGGGAAAATTATGAGTTAAGGAAAGCAACTACTCGTCTAGACCGGAAACAGAGGAAGAATAATATAGTCGTGTTTGGGCTGAGTCAAACTCAGTATCTGGACAACGTATTTAGAGTTGAAATAAATCATAGAGAAGTCAGTAATACCTGACCTGAATACAAAAATCACAAATCCATTCCAGACTAGTTACTGAACGTTGGAGTTATTAACAAATTTTTTGGAAATATATTCAACTACATACAAATCTTCCCCTGATGATGCAATTATGAACTTTTTTCTGGTAATAATATAAAATATCCCAACTTCTCCCATAAAGCTACTGATGACGATGAAATCTATAAGTTTATGAAGTCGAATTCTAGTCCAGAACGTTTAGACGATCTTTGGCCAATTAGCGTCTTATGTGCACTATTAAAAATATTTGAAAAAATATTGAACTTGCAGATGTGCGATTATCTGGGTTCAGACCTGACCACAGGTATACGACTGAAAGTTGTGGATGATGTGCACAGATCTATTGATAACAACAAACTGTGTCTTCTGATATTATTGGACTATTTGAAGGCGTTCGATCGCATACCCTATGAACTCCTCTTAGCTATTTTGGGCTACCTAGGGTTTTCAATACTTGCTGTAGCACTACTCGCCATCATTTTCAAAGAGTCGTGTAAAATAACAAAAAATCTGATTTAATACAAATTAAAAACGGTGTTTCAAGGTTCAATAATAAGCCCTTTCGTGTTCGTTTTATACACATTTAAATTCCATAGGCACTCCAATTTGCAACCATGTATTGTTATGCCGACGATAGTCTGCTGTACATGGAATTCAACGAGATTTCAAATAACGAGGCCCTATGGCAAATTAATATCGATCTAAAGCTAGTGTCATGCTCTTTGGTAGAACAGCGACGAGAAATAGTTATTCTGGCCTTATTAATATTGTAACAGAAATTCCCTTGAAAGGAGCTACATAAAACTTGGGCCTATATCTTGACAACAGTCTTCGTTTTGAAACACATTTCGCAAATATAAAAATGATATATTCCAGCAGAGCATTTCTGAATGAAAAAAGTAAAATTATATTCTGAGATGCTTCAGTTCTCTCACATGCCAACTACGCAGACGTGGTGTATGGTCCAGGAAGAGTGACAGTTTTGAAACCTAAAAGCTCCGGAATGCCGACATTAGGCCCATTACGGGTACGAGGAAACGAGAACATATTTCACATCTGTTCGGGGATGTTCGTCTGGTTATGAAATCCAGACGAACATTTCATTCTGCAACATTTTTTCAAAAATACCTTAAAACTAAAAACCCGCTTATAATTTCGAAAAATTGTACTGAGAGACACCATTCTAACTTGAGATTCAGGACACATGTAACAATATCACAACATAAAACTTCTCTGTTTCACAGATATGACCGGCTAAGATTTGTGCTTTAGTACGGTAAGCCAGTATGATTTTATGATTCCAGAGTAGAGAGGGCATCATTCCACCAAGGATTCCAATAATCAGAACAACCATCTTGACAGAGTGGTCTGGATAGTGTCTGCGGAGTTCCAAGAGAAATTCTTGATATTTCCAAAAGAAAATCTCGATATTCAATCCATTTTTCCTTCTCTTTTCGGACGATATTCGTTTCGTCAGAAGCTGAAAACTTCACGACAAATATGGCCTTGCTCTCGTGGTCGAGAAGGACAACATCGGGCGTATTCGCTTGTGTGAGCCTGAAAGTGGGGAACGAATAGTTCCAATAAATTCGGCACTTCTCGTTGCCCACAACGGATTAAATATCCCCCGGAGCGTAGGGCAACACCGGTGTCTCGTCAATATCTTGAGAGTGTTGTAGATGGTAATAAAGCACTCTCAGGGCCGCGTTACTTCGATGGATATAGGACGACACCGCATATGCTGGACATGTTGACAGCAAGTGCATTAGGGTCGCGGACGCCTCGCTGCACCTTGCCTGCACCTTGCAGGCCCATCACCCATCCTGACAGGCCATGATGAACCCCTCAGTATCCGACTTCAGCCGACTCGACCTGAGGAAAGCGAAAGTTAGGCGCTTTGATAAGCCAAGGTCTTTAGTGTTAGTGAAAAAGCCCTCATGCATTGGCTTATCCTTGTGTTCCTGCAGAAGTGAGGTGATTTCTGCGGCTTTTATATAAACCTTCTGCACGGGTTCCAACTTGGTGACAGTTGTGATCACCTCATTCAGAGTCGAAAACCAAATCAAGTTCATCAGCTGCTCGGGCAGCTGTCCTAAAGAGAAATGCATGATCGCGGACCATGCAGAGAAGGGTATTGGAACTCCTGAGAACTTAACAGGCTCCATCCAGTACCATTCTGTCATGTAAACACTTCAAACTCAAAAGTCCACGGCCTTCCTGTTATCGGGAAGAATACTACCTTGGAACGGACGATTTGGGATGCAAACTCCAATGAAGATGTATCATTCTTCCGGTCTTCACTTCGAGTTGATACAGTTCCTCCCGAGTCCACTTCACTGCTCCAAACGAGTAGAGTAATATTAGAACGGCAATAATATTTGTTGCAGCAACTTTGTTCTTTCCCGACAATTCCGATTCTGAGAATTTGAGAATAATCCAATTGTAAAATTTTTGTGAATATTCTGGAGTCCATCAGTTGAAAGCGGTGTATTTATAGAAGACATTTATTTTTGGGAAAAAATTGACTTTCTACTTCTCCATCTTCATACAAAAAATGTGAGAATCTTCCAAGGAAAGAAATGAAGAATCAATTTCAGAATATATTCTTTACAAAGATGTGTAGATTATGCAAAGGCACAAAATGGAAGAAAAAACCCTCTCAAAACAACTACTTTCATATTTTCATTGAATCACACGTAAGAAAAAATACATTCGAAACAACTACTTTTATATGAACATTAAATTATACAAAAAAAACTCCGTTCTATTCAGTTTGTACTCCAAACAAACGAAATCAAATATCATTCACAACATCGCTACATAATATCGTATATAAAAGAAGTGAAATTTCACTTACATGGAACAGTGTCATCCTGAATAGCGGACATCCGAAACATCATCAGATGTTTCGGATGTTCGAACGGTTTACAAGTTATGCCAAAACTAATGTCAAAAATGATCTTTTCAGTTCATATTTTCATTGAAAAATCAGTTGAACAGTATGTTTTATTTCAAGAATACCTACTGTCTGAAAATGTATTTTGGTCTATAAGCAGTTCGCTAGTTGGTTTGAATGTGCTTGGTATTGTGTTTTGGTAACTGTTCGACTGTAAAGATTGGAAATACTGACATTAATATTTTTCTCCGTTTTTTTCCACTGTCATTTATCTTTCGGTCGGTTAAGTAGAACAATAAATACGTCATGGTTCTACACGGCACTTAGCTAATAATTTTAAAAAGCGCAATGCATTTATGTCTGAAACTTTTGCCGGAAAAAATGTATGATGAACTTCACTTCAAACTTCTAATGGAAGCTTAAAATGAATTGAAGTGAATTCTTTCACAATCTGCATTTATAAAAAAATATTTTCCTTTGGCAGTAGTATCTTTCGAAATTGATCTTGAATTGAACTGATTGTGGGTTCAGTATCCCATTTCATTAACAACCCACTTACTGGATTTAATATTCATGAATTTGTTACAGATTCGCAGATGTTTATCAGACGCAGCACAATAAAGCTATAGAGGATGTGCAGTTATATATAGCAAACCCTATCAACGCGTACACGCTGGTTAAACGATTGACCACGGACTGGAAACAAGTGGAAGATCTAATGAGCTCAGTAATCAGCCATGGTAAGAATTAAATACTTAATAGTGGACAAGATTTTTCAACAGAAGAATTTTAAGAGAGCAAATTATCTACGAATATATAGATCATAAAAAACGATCAAGAAAAGTCTGGGAAAATCAAACCTTTGCGATTCTTTACGCTGAAGTAGAAGTGCAAAAATAACTTCTTCCTCAATACCTGTAGTACTATCTATAATACAATAAAATGAGTTTTCGACATTTCTGTGTATGAAATTGTCACATCTTCATGATTTATCGTAGATTACTCCATATTAAAAGTCTATTTTTTCAAAATTCTCATTTATTTCTCAACATAAAACTACAAGGTCAACCAAATTCTAGTATATGCATCGGGTCGTTATTGTTAACGTGAGGTTATAAAGAGTGAGTTGGATTAATGAAAATGAGTTAAATGTGCAGCTCTTGATCCCAAACACATTCGGAAAAAATAAGAATTATAAATTCTATTTTGAACTACATGTTCGTAGAGGTATTGAAATTCTGTCGAATTTTTGTTACGAAAACTTTCAATTAACTATTAAAATAAGAGGGGTCGTCCGACTTTACTTATCTTCATCTTTGAAATTATTGAAATGCAGACCTGCATTGTTGTTCCAATTTTCATTTTAATACCATTAAATACCTCTGAAGTTTTTTTCCATTACCATTCGACCGATTATTGGGCAGTAATGAAAAAGCTATAATTTATTCGATGACCATTGAAATGTCGTCCGAGAAGAATGTAATTTCCCAATATTATATGAATATATCCCCTTAGGGGTGGAATTTATCAAAATCCCTTCTTAGGGGATGCCTACGTCATAGTAGCTTTATGCATACAAGTCTCAGCCCGATCGGTTTAAAATTGACAAAGTTTTATACAAACCTTCATCCCCTATTTTATCCCCTTGGGGGTAGAATTGATCAAAATCCTTTCTTAGCGAATGCCTACGTCATAACATCTACCTGTATGCCAAATTTCAGCCCGATCCGTCCAGTGGTTTGGGCTGTGCGTTGCTAGATCACTATGTCAGTCATCTTTGACTTATATTGTATATTTAGAGATACCTCAACATGAAATAAGTTTTGAGTATATTGCAATAAGTTTTGAGTGTATTTTATCGAATTTCGGTAAACACATGATTTTAATTTATTTTATATTAATTGTTGGGTTTAATTGTTGAGTTCTTCACAAGTAAGAAAGAAGTCATTCATCATTTTGTTCACATCAGTTGTATCTGTTAATCATTATTAGTTATTTCAGCCCCATATATTTCAAATACATACACGATGTGAAATGTAACAGTGGTTGAAAATTTGGAATTTGAGTTGCATCAATTTGAGTTGCAGAATATTTGCGTCATCCGTTTTTATATAATATCTTTATTAAAATTTTTCAACTAGACCACCATATATTTATTTTGAAAGGAAGGTTACACACAATTTCTATCTCTTGCCATTTGAATTATATATTTCCAAATTTCCAGTACAGAGATAACTTTGAGTCACCATTGAAATAGTATAAAGTCGGTTGAATCAAAGACTCACACATTCGTTATGTTAATCTCCTTAATGATCTTGATGTCTCCGACTATTCTTAAAGAGGCATGCTCATTTCAATAATTGCCTTTTGACGTGACGCTAATATAATGGCATATTTTCACTTTCTAGATTACCTAATGAACATCACTTATTTCAAGGAAACAATGAAGTTTCCTACAGATGAGGATTTGAATGGTGCAGCAGTGGCCTTAACAAGATTGCAGGATACATACAGGTAATTTTTTTCATATTTGTTAACAAATTGTCGAATGTAATTTAATTAAAATCCATGTCGATAGTAATACCACAACACCTCAAAGTGTCATCGATACATTTCCATTTTCAACGAAAATTTTATTAGGCAGTACCATGAGATCAAACAGCATGATATTGCTGATTACTCCATTGGCATTGCTTAAAAAATGGATATTCATCTGAAAAATTTGCTAGGTCTCTGTGAATAGTCTCGTTTGTTGAAACAGTCAGGACGTTTTTCAATTTCAATGGTTCACGAATTATCCTGGTGTTTTTTGAAGTTTATTGTGTGGCATGTTTCAAGGTGACGTTTGAAGAGGGATGAGGGCTGGATCTGATATTCGAACAGCTAGTTTATGTTCATAGGTTCTGTTGGAAATTCTTCTATTGGTCTGGCCGATGTAAATTCTAGGGCAGGTAGAATAAGATATTTCGTATATACCTGGTGCCTCATTGCGTATCGTGTCCTTCGGTATTCGTGAAAGAGTTGAGATTTGATTGTTGGTTTTGTATACTGTTCTTACGTTATACCTCTCCAGAATTCGACTTATTTTATGGGGAGTGTGAAGTTTGAGTTTGCTGTCGTTGAATGGATCTCTGGATTTGGGAGACGGAATCATAATCGTTTTGGTGAAGGGTGGCTTTTAGTTTGTATGGTTTTTTGGATCTATTATGGTTGTTAGGGCATCTTATAGATCGGTGTATGAAAAAAATCAAGATGTAATTAAGCTGGGCAGGATGATGATAGGACTTAGCTTCAAGATAACGATTGATGTGAGTAGGTTTTTGGTAGACAGTGCGTGAAAAATATTTGTTGGACTTTGTGATGAGAACGTTTAGGATTGGAAGCGAGTTACCAATTTTGACCTCCATTGCGAATTTTAGGTTATGGTGTAGGAACTTGATGTGGTCGATGACTCTGGTTTCAAAGTTCTCCAAGTAAAATCCATTGGGTCGCCTTTCACTTGTTTGTAGAATTTGCCCTGGAAACGGAAATATTTGATGGACATGCAGTGTCTGATGATTTTGATCGTGTCTTGCGGAATTTGATGTTTTGTTCTGAGAAGGGATAAGGTTTCGGATAGTGGGATATTCGTGAAAAGGTATATACTTCGTTAAAGCTGACGAGGATGTCTGTTTGTTGGATATTGAAGGATTTCAGGATTTTAAAAAAGTGATAAGAGTTTCAGACATATGATGAAGAATATTCGGCTAGTGGTTGGAATACATTTGCAAGATACTTGGTAAGATGTCGTCATCTTGTCGATGTAGTCTTCTTAGTACCACCATGGCATTTTTTTTCTGCCGGAAAGACAACTATATTTGAGTTATAGTTTAGGTTTTTAAAGGATTGTCAGCTTTTCGGCTTCGACTCTGAAGCCGATCTGGTATTTATGTCCCTGGAGTGGAGGGGCGGACCGGTAGTGGGAGCGATGGTGGAGTTGGTAGTGAAAACGGAGATGTGACTGTGGGTTCCTTATTTTCTTCAGTCCTTGCAAACCTTTCCATGGAATACTTTGAAACCAGAGTCATTGACATGTGTGACCTTCAACCAATGTATTGTCTTCGATACATAGATGACGTTTTTTTCATGGATTTGAAAGTACAAATACATTCCTAAACCACATTAACTCCCCACATTTCGGCCTATAATTCAAAATGGAAGTGAAAATAACAACTCGCTTCCATTTCTGGATGTTCTCAACACAAAATCCAATGAATCCTTTTCACACTCTGTATCAAAATTCGACCCATACCAACCGCCACCTCAATGATAACTGCCATCATCAAACTACCCATTAAGATTCCGATTTGAATTCTCTCATACTCAGGTCTATCAGACTCTCTAACAGCCACAACAGAATAGAACTCAAATCCGCCCTTTGCCTAAACAAATATCCCAAATCCAAGATTTATCAATCTTCAGCAAACCCGTACCTCACATCCCAAACAGAGCGATGAACAGACGGACCACCCAATAGCTTTTATTCCTTATATTAATGGAGTTACCGACAAAGTGACCCGACATCGTAAGTGATACGATATAAGAACAGTATTCACAGCCAACAACATGATACCCAATGAGGCACACGGCATATACGAAATACCATGTTTCACCTGCTCTAGAACTTACATTGGTCAGATCAACAGAAGAGTATCCAACAGGGCTTTTGATCCTCATATTCAGCCTCATTCCTCTTCAACCATCATCGTGAAACACGCCACACAATAATTTGCGAAAACCCCCAAAACCATTGCCATCGAAAAAACTCTCCAGGTCAGAATAATCAGCGAATAAAGCTATTGAAATCTAAAAACGTACCAACTGCATCAATAAACGAGATGATTCAGAAAGATCACCTCATTCATGGAGATAATTACCGTCACGCCGTTACAACACTACACACCTAGCATCTGCAAGTCACAACCGCGTTTCCACTTCCAACTCTACCCTCGCTGCCACTACCGATCGATGTAATTATAAAGGCTCTTTAGTTTCTTCATCATTATAGAAAAGTTTCCATTTTCGAGAGCTTGTTTTTCAAAAACTAATCTTCTGAGAATAACTGGTTTTTCAATTAGGTAATTATAAAATTGTAATATCAGATCTACACTGATTCCACACCACATTTGAATTTCATTTCAGATCACAGTCATTGACCTACGCCCCCTTCTGAAGGAATGAACAACTTCAAATATAGTTATTTTTCATTTCGAATATTTTTCCCAATTTCAAAATTACTTTTTTGTAGGTTAGATACTTCATCGCTAGCAAGAGGCGAATTAAATGGTATCAAATACAGTTCAGAACTTTCAGCTGCGGATTGTTTCGAATTGGGCAGACAGAATTATAATAATGGAGATTTTTATCACACCGAATTGTGGATGAGAGAGGCAGAAGCAAGACTGAAAAGGGAAGCCAATGAAACGGTGGACCGCAGTGATATTTTAGAATATCTGGCATTTTCTACTTATAAGCAAGGCAAGCTATTTTCTAAGTTACTAATATGTTTACCAACAATACATCATTATATTATTCAACAATCTCTACTTCTGATTACAGGAAACATACCACTCGCTTTAGATCTGACCAATAAACTTTTGGAGATTTTACCAACACATACGAGAGCATTAGGAAATAAAATGTATTACGAAGAAGAAATAGAGAAATCCATAGAATCGGAAAGGAAGAAGGGAGATGATGAATCTGACAGTATACAATATGAAGGGGTAAATAGTGTAAAGTTTAAAGTAATACCAGATAAGAGTATTTTTAAAGGTGTCACACGTCAAAAATAACATGTAAAAATAGTATTACTATATACACCCAAACACACCCATTGAACTGGGGCAACTTGAACGTTGACCAAAGGATTTACAATTTTCCGAATGATTTTCAGATGATCAAGAATCCTTTTTATTTTTTTCGAAATGAGTGTCTTCCACGTTAACAATTCTCAGTTTATCCTTTCTATTTTTGAAAATGTTGTTTCGTTGGAGAAGTTGAAAAGCCTATATTAACTTTTAGATGGAAACCTGGGACTTACACCACCACATCCTGTAGACAGTTTCTAATCAATGTTTGCATGTATTCTTCACTTATAACGCTTACTGGGATTCGGGAATGAAAGTAACTGTTATAAGTTACAATGTAGTTTTCAGTTAATATAGGCCCGCCCAAAGAAGTTATTGTATAGCAAAACATGTGTTACATTTTTATGAAATTGTTTAGTGAAAATCTCACAAAAAAGCGTTTCATGAATACGTTATTTTCTATACTGGTCCTTCAACATTCGTTCTGAATTCGGAGGATGGATTTTTTTTACAAACACGGCCTCTCATGCCAACAAAAGGAAACGATAAAAGTTCTAAATCTTGATATTACAAATATTGATATTGTTACAAAAATCACAATACTGGGCGTTATGTTTGGTTTTGCAATCGCTACCGACTTTTGCAATAATAAATTTTTGCAAGGTTACTGTCAGTGCTGAATATACACAAGCCACTACAGGTACATTCTTGAGATTAAATGAGCAAGTTTTCGGATCGATTGTACATAACAAAAAACAGATTTGCAATTTGCATCTCATAGCAAAATTTTAATTTTTGAGTTTTTTATAGATGAAAATCAAATTTCAAAAAAGGCTAAAGTGATTTTGAAGAAATTTTCATGACCCTATTCAATGAGTGCAATAATCTGTTTTTGAGATTCTTCAACTCGTCTTACATCTTTCCTTAGATTTCAGCCTTGCTCTAAAAAGAAAAACTTTTTCAAATAACTACAGACAAACTATTTACTGATAGTCAGCACCTTAGTAAATATCAGAAATAATACACGTAATCAACGTCAGTGTTGATTCCATAGGCAATGGTAGTTTATTTTTTCATCTGAATGGATTTTAAAACTGAATGATCACTTCAATAAATGTTAGGTAACCCTTGAGATGAGGTGGTGGAAAATGAAAAGTCGGGAATATATGAAAAGAACTCAGAGAACTTTTACAAAAAATATATTAGTCACTCTAAACGAGCTATTGAAACTCTTTTCGAATATCAGGTTGCAATTATTCGATTTCAGAGAATAGAAAAATGTGGTAACACTCATCACACTTAGGCGAACTGCCATAGAGTGAATGAACAGTGTCTAAAGTTTTTGAGATTGGTGCAAGACAAGTCGTCTGGATGCTTGTGAAAATTTGGAAATAAAAGAGGCATGAGAACTATTTTAAACTATGAAAGGAGAAAAGGCCTACTGCGAAGAAGTCTTGGTTTACTTCCACATGGATCACTCTGTTGAAAATAAGCAAAAATTTCGCTGATATTCACTCAAGAAATCATTGATGCATTACTAGGAATGAAAGTGTACACTTCTAGATATAAAAATACGTAGTTGAAGTTAGGAATGAGTCTAATGCATTTCCTGATGTCGCTAACTTGGTTGGTGAAACGCAAGTCGAGAAGAGTGTTGAAGTTTTGGTATATGGAAGCAGCAGAGATCAGTGTAACTGAAAGAAATCTTAATGGCTTTCCAGATTCCACGTAGAAATTTTCTCAATGGGCTCTCAAGGAACATGCAACTAAGCATACATATGCTGGAGGAAGTCGCTTTCCACTATTTCTGTGAACTGTAGATCAATCATCAACTTACAGATCTTTCAAAGATGGCAGTTATATTTCAATATATGACTTCATTTAACTTCACTTGGAAACATAATTCCTTTCCTAAAGATGACTTCTGCGTTCATTTACGTGATGTCGATCAGGTGAACTTACTAATTTTTTTGCAAATTGAAATAAATTTCTTGGAGCTGTTATTGTCTATTGGAACTGACCGATGCCAGATGAAAGTTATATCAAAATTCGCTAACACAGTATCTTGGGAGATTTTCACTATGGAAGGTTTTTACAAAATTATAATACGTGTTTTTTGATCCAAGAGCTTACTCAAGCAGGATTATAAATTACTCCAACATCACAATCATTTTATACTCTAGAAACAGAAGCTATGACCTATGGTTCCATCACATAATCAATTCTAGGCTAGATTTTACTACCTGAAGAAAGGTGATATAAGCCTGAATCCGCTAGTAAAAACAGCTCAAATTAATGGTAACACATAGTAATTATTCTAAGGGTTCTAAGAACGATTATCTGGTAAGGTAGTTCAAAAGTTAATACACCTCGAACTACGCATTTCAAAAAATCGGTTCGTAGAAAGAAGTTCCAGAACAAAACCTAACGAGACCTACTTTGGCATTTTCTTCAATTGGCAGTGTACTCAAATGTTCACTTTCTGTATTTCAGGGAAGCTAATCATTGTTTCCGCAATATGATAATGATAATCCCAAAAAAACGAAGAATGTTCATAACAGGAATACAATTCAAATAGTAATCAAATAAATTATTCAAATACTAATACGTCTAATCTTCATATTGTAGTACCTATTCTTTCATTGTAATTTTTCATTTTTATATGTTTTTTTAGCAGAACATTGATATACAATGGTGTGTTTATTGAACAACTATAGTGGAACTCCACTCCACTGAATTATAGTTTTCAACAATTATTTCAGTCTTGCTCTTCCCGTTATTCATCTTTTGTATCATTCTTACCCTGTCTGGTTCATTCAGATCTACACTCTGTTGGACTGAACAGAGTGAAATTTTTAAGTACTTAGCGGACCCGCCGAACGTCGTTCCGCCTAACAGTTAATGAATGAGCAGATTTAGAATTTCAAAATTGATACAAAATTATTGTGATATACAAGTGTTTGCCACTTTTATTATCATTATAATTTTTATTGATGAAATATCATATTTTAATACGTATTATCCTATTCCCGATGAAGACAAATCAAAAAACACAAAAGTCATAAGAATTAGTTCTGCCATTCTTGAGTTCTTTTAATATTACTTTTGATACTCATTACCCTATTCCCGATAAATCCAAAAAGAAATCATAAAAATTGGTCTAGCTGTTCTTGAGTACTTCTATTATTATTTTTTTTTACCGAAGTATGCGCTGGTCAGGCCCTATCCCCCGTAACCCCGATACATTCGGAAGGGCGCGCCAGCATTATCAACCAAAGACCACTCCCCACACCGTGGGGTAAGCGATCATTGGGTCCGAGAATCATGTACCCTGAGCAAGCGCAGTGAGCCAAGTATGACAGCCTTCTGTATCTGTCCGGCTAAGATTTCTGCCTCAGTGCGGCAGGCCGGTATGATTTTAAGATTCAAGAGTAGAGAGGGCATCATTCCACCTCCAATAATCAGAACAACCATCTTGACAGAGTGGTATGGATAGAGTCTGCAGAGTTCGAAGAGAAAATCTCGATATTTTATCCGTTTCTCCACCTCTTTTTGGACGGTATTCGTCATATTTACTCATCCTTTAAACCTTTTCTGAACTTCCACAAATAATTCAAAGCCAAATCGGTCCAGCTGTCCTCGAGTTTTGGCAAGACCCACGTACAGCAATTCATTTTTATGTATTAGATTGAAGTGTGACACCTATTGAATAACCGTCCTAATTATTATTTTTTCAGCATCATGAATATGATCCATATGCCCGAGAACATTATGAAACTTTGTGCAGAGGAGAAACCAGCATTCCAGAAGAGAAGGCTTCGAAACTGAAATGTAGATATTTGACGAACAATAACCCTTTCTTGTTGATAGCTCCTTTCAAAATAGAGGAAATACACCATAAACCTGACTTATACATGTTCCACGATGTTATGACTGATTCGGAAATAGCGACAATAAAAAAGCTAGCTACACCTAGGGTAAGTACAATGACAATATACAATACAATATCAAGATTGTAATCATTCAATAAAGTCAAGTAAGTCAGCTTTGAAAGTGTTCTTTTTACAAAGGTAACAATATCAGTTAACATGCTATGGAAGTGTTAATTGATCAACTATAGGGGAACTCCATTGAATTATAATTTTCAGCAATTATTTCAGTCTTGCTCTTCTCGTTAATAATCATTCTTACCCTGTCTTGCAATGACAATCAAATATATCAAGATTGTAATTATTTAATGAAGTATTAAGTATGTCAGCTTTGAAAGTGGTTCTTTTCGCAAGGGTGACAATATCAGTTAACCTGCTATGAATATCACGTTTGAAACTAAGACCTCGTCAATCCTTAACTTGCACAAGTTTCGACTTCTGAGGGTTGTCATTCGTAGGAGGGCGACAGCTTTTCAACGGAAAAACAGATTTCAAACAGACAGATCAATATTTCCATCATGTTTATATTTTTTTTATTATTCATGGTTCCTTCAAAGGGATATGAATACAAATAAATAGATACAAAGAGGTGGTTTTGGTTGTACGTAATTTTCACAACTACTGTGTTTATGGAAATCATTGTTTCGTCATTTTATTACTGCAAGTCTTCGGTGATGGCCTATTTTGTAGGATGACTGAGTTTTTTTCCTTCTTAAATCTTTATATGAAACTACTTGTTTTAGTTCAGCTTCTTTTGCCAATAATTATTAATGTTTCAGATGAAAAACATTAGTAAAAACCATGAATATTACGATTGATATTATCCTAATATTTATTCATTTTAGTTCATGATCGACTAAGTTACACAAAAATATTATTCTTTTTTTTAGTTCCAAAGGGCTACTGTTCAAAATTCCAAAACAGGTGAACTAGAAATTGCCCAATATAGAATTAGCAAATCCGCCTGGTTGAAAGAACATGAACATAAACACATTGCAGATATTTCCCAAAGAGTGGAAGATATGACGGGATTGACAATGGAAACTGCAGAGGAATTACAAGTGGTCAATTATGGTATTGGAGGACATTATGAACCACATTTCGATTTTGCTAGGGTAAGTATGACTCATTTGAAAGTAACTAACAACTGTCAAGAGATAAGTTTTAACTCATCTTAAAGTAAATAATTATCTTTTAACTTGAAGTAAATAGTGTGATCATGGGTATTTTGGTTCCACTTATCCTAGCAAAAATTTCATTTGCTGAGCCTTATAGCAGTTTCCTCAGTCGAACTGATACTGGTACACACACTTTGATTAAGTATGCTTTGGACGATGCGACGATAAAACATAATGTTAATCTTCACTGGTAACTATAAAATTTTGATTCAACCAATAAAGACGTTTATAGTGAAAATCAACTGTATTGATTAATTTTTTTAATATGGATTTTCATCAAGTATCGGCCAGTTCTATTCAATTAATAAAGACGCTGTTCAATTAGTGGTTGCAGAAGCAGCAAACAATTTGTATCACAAGAGATATCTAGAGAGAAGACAACCTTTTAGAGACATTTTCGCAAGATTGCGACACAACCTAATTGATGGTGGTCAGTTTGAATACAAAAGGCCAAAATTAAATAAATCAAATAAGGAGTTGGAATAAATATTTGTTGAAAATAATCTAGAAACGTCAACGCGTAATTTGAAAATATCAACAGGCCTACCAAGAACTAACGTTAGGAGGATTTTGAAAAAACACAAATTCAAACCATACATGACCAGAAGAGTTTATCAACTCAGATCAGAAGATTTTTAACGCCGCATGACTTTTTGCCAGTGATTCGTGGAAAGTTGTAACCAAGTGCGATTTTTCGTTTAATTGTTAAAAAAGGTGTCGCCTGTGTGTGGGAGAAACTGGTAGACATTTCGAACAGCTTCTCTGAAGAAATATATTTCATGTTTTTTCTTCATCATTTTTATTGTTGAAGTTTCATTTATTAGTAGGGAATATAGTATACATATCAGTTATATTGAAACTATATGTTTTTATTACTGCTGTGAAAAGCTTTCTCAACATTTGATAGCTACTTATGAAAAATTTCTTTCTGTTTTATCGCCTCGTCATCCAAAGCCTACTTGATCAAAGTGTGCGTTTCAAAGTCTGCAAGAAAAAACATAAAAGCTCTCTATTTTAAAGATGACTCTAGCAAAACATCAAGTGTGCTACATTTTTAGAAAAGTAATTTAACGTGTGATTCCTAACACGGAATCGCACGTTAAAAGGTAAGACCTCGTTAATCCTTAGCTCGCACAAGTTTCGACTTCTTAGGGTTGTCGTTCGTAGGGGTGCGACAGCTGGTTAACGGAAAAACAGATTTTGAACAGAAAAACAGATGCAGGAATATACAGGTTTCCAATTTACACCATTGAATTCTTCGTAAAAAAGTGCTTTGGAAATGTTTTCATAAATACGGAAAATTTTGACATTTTCAAAATTGCACATTTTCGAGAAACATGCTGTATCTCAGAAACGATGATATATCGATATGCGCTTTTCACCATTGAGTTTGTCATAAAATTCCACCCTCAGACACAACCATCAGTTTTTATTTATCTAGTTTGAAAACAGGAGTTTTCCTCCTGTGTCCAATTTGACCTACCCTGTACATTAAACTATTCTGCAGTGGATTTTATATAACAGCAGTTACATAAGCTAATCAGTTGATAATGGGAATTCTAAGTTAACAGATAGATATTGAGAAAAAGTAATTACCATTAATTAATTCTAGATACCCAGGTAAACTTTAGACACCAAGTGGGTAATGACGAATAATTTCCAGAATTTCATGAAAATAGTTCAATAATGGTGAAATGGTACTGCTTTCGTTTATTGATTGTTCTCTAAAAGGTGACAAACATAGATAAAATAGGTCTTCTGCAATTCAAAGCTTCTGTTGTGTCCAGCCAGGGGACGCGTAGGGGGCACACTCTTGGTTGTGTTCTCAAATTCTATTGAAATTTCTAGATGTTTTTTCTACATAAACTTTCGGGCTACATGTTATCTTGTAGACACCTGATTTATTGTCCTCGTCTGCCTTTTAGTTGTGTATGTTTGTGTGTTTGTGCGCGCGCGCGTTTGTGTGCGTCTGTGTGAATTGTGTCTACCTAAAGTATCGCAAGTAGTGTATGCTATGTTAAAATTCATGTTGAAATTCTTTTTAGTTAGTAGTCTTTTTATGTATGTCTACTATGGTGGTAAAAGTTAAAATTCGGTATATTAGTAGTCTCTTTATTTTTTCTGATGATTTTTTGAATGTGTTTTGTAGGTGTAGTATTATTTTCAATGTGAGGTATAAGTTATTATTTTCAATTTGAGGGTATACTTGGTTAGTAGCCTTCTTCTGTTAAGCATGTGAAGAATCATGTTCGGATTGGAGTTGTTATTTACTGCAAATTGTTTCACTAAATTAAGTTCATCAATCTCTAATAACATCGGGATATTACTGAGTGTGTATATCATGCTTTGGCTGCCAATTTGTATTATTGAGAGTGATTGAATTTTTTTTTAACATTGTATCATAGATAGTTATCATAGATAGTATCATTAATTTTTATGAAGTAAACGTTCAGTCTAATAATAATGATTTTTCAACAGTAAAAATAAAATATTTCATTATAATTTCATCCAACTGACAACAAGAAATGAAAATATAAGCATAACTGACAATATATTTGTATTTTCCAGAAAGATGAAAAAAATGCCTTCAAAAGTTTGGGTACTGGAAATAGAATAGCAACAGTTTTGTTTTATGTGAGTATAAATATTAAAAAAATCTACATATGGACACGTTTATTTGATTTAACCCCCTCATCTTTGGTCTGTAGATGAGTGATGTTCCTCAAGGCGGAGCCACTGTATTTCCTGTTATTGGAGCTGCTCTTTGGCCTAAAAAAGGTGCAGCTGCTTTCTGGTTCAATCTTCATCCGAGTGGGGATGGAGACATTCTCACAAGGCATGCAGCTTGCCCGGTACTAGCTGGATCAAAATGGGGTAATTTTTTTATAATAGAACTCATGGCATCTATATTATTACATTAATACAAATGTATTCAAAAGAAAATATTTTACCAAGCGAGTTCTTTTGCACATCATCATCATAATGCACAGGATATATTGAAAAAATAAATTGGATTTCATCTATTCAGTGGAAATTTGTGACATACCATTAGTATTGAAAAAAAATATATTTGGGAGTCTTAAGAAACTTTCTCTGAGAAATAATTTATTCATGTACAATTTTCAATAAGCCTCTAAAATAATTTTATTTCGACTCTGAAGAACACTTTCTGTGAGTTGCATTTTTTTCAGCCGTTTCATTGTCGAAACAAATGTTTTGAGCTTCAACATGCGGTCGCCGTAAGAAGTTGCGAGATTCATATCAATACAATTGTCACGAATTTTATATATGATATATGAAGTGACGACGAATCTTCCAAATGGAAGACGTTGCACAGATGCCTGATGGTTTCACTTCTGCTGGTATCTGCCTCACAAGGAGTTTAGAACTAGATTGATTGATTCTAAACTCCAGACATCATCAAAAGATAGCAAACGAGACTTTGCCGAAATGTTGTGAAAATAATCTTTGTAAGGATCAAAAACACAGAACATGTGGCAAAACCCCAAAAAATAGCTCATCTTACTTTGTCGGTTAGTCTAGGTTTCACATCTTTGAATATTCATTTAGCGAATCATTTAAAGAATTTCTATAAAGAATAATTGTATGCTGATGACAGCACGCTTGTCTCGTCATTCCATTTGGATTCCAGGACATCGGCTACGGAGGCACATCTTCACCGTCAGCAGGAGGTTGCATATCTTAATGAGTATCCAGGAGTGATTTCGAATGGGGGTGAAAGTAACCACGTTCAATTCAATGCCACAGAAACCCAGACATCGGTTTTCTCCAAGAAGATAAATGTCTCCAAACCGGATATAATAATGTCAGGTCAGACAGTTCCGCTTTCTGTTTCAATAAGTTTGTTGGGGGTTAAAATGGACACCATTATACCTTGGCACAATCATGTCGCTGGAATCGCAAAGGCTGTTCCTCAAAAGCTGGAACACTGTTCCGAAACAGAAAATTGTACACACTTTAGCAACTTTTGATGCTTTACAAAGCTCTGTTCAAACCTTCATTGGAGTATTATTCTCTTGTATGGAGCTCTGCCCCCAAACATACCCTGAAGTTGCTGGATTCCATCCAGAAAAGAGGTATCCGCCTGATTAGAGAAGCAAATATCACGTGCAACTCGATTGCCTGGAACATCAAAGAAAAGTTGGAGATTTGTCTCTCTTCTATAGATACTTTCACGGGAAGTGTTCAAGTGACTTGGCACCTCGAACTTCACTGTTTAAGAACTCTTCCATCTGGAGAACTGCGTTCCTGTAGTGCTTGTGTTCATTCCTTAAAAAATGAGTCATAGGGAATATCAAATCGAACAAATACTCATTGTTTTTTCATGTTGACATATTTATCTATGTACATTTTTTCTTGATGTGATCATTGTATAAAATACTTCAATTCAAAAATTGAAACATTGCAAAATCAAAATATCTCATGCCTTCCAATCAAGATGAAATAGAAAAAAATTGGCTAATACAATCGACGTATATATGAAAATAGTGTAAAAGAAACAAAAAAATACTAATATTTTTTGTTTGGTTACAATATCATCATAAAATCACGATCTTGGTTTTCAGGGTCGGGCGCGCTAGAATTATAATAATAATAAATTATTTACACCCAGATTTTCATATGATATCAAATTTTATAGACAGATTTCATTATTCTACAATATTCTACTCCGATAGTCTTTTTGCGGGGATGAAAAAAGTTTGCACACAAGTTTCGGTCCTGTAGTATTGCTGTCATTACTAGAGTTTTGAAAAAGCAGGCACCTAGCATGAGTTTTTCACTAATGTAGTTTTAAACTTTCTTGTCTTTTTTACGATTTTTCATCTGTACTGATTGCTGATTTACCAGTATGTGTTTCATAAAATAAAGGGAATTTTTTCAATTTATTGGTGTCTAATATTTTTTTGAGAAGAGTTCCTATAGGAAGTATAACGAGAACTACTACCTCTGCAGTTTAGACTCCTAAGTAAGGTTTATACAAGACAAAAGTAATAACTTCTATTCAAAATATAAATTCATGAACTGTACTGTACCATTTTTGAAGCATTCAGTTATTGCACTTTGTTAATCTCACTCCAGATGGTTCACCACCATAAAATTAAACACTGAAAGTGAATTTTTACGTCTTCTCCCGTTCGCTGTTCGCTAACTAGTAATCCTGTGCCGTCCTCGGCCAAGGAAGCAAAGGCAGCGTTATCAGTCACATAATCCACATGACTTACACCTTCGTCCAACATCGGTAATTGATATCATATCAATATTTCAATCAACTGTATCGCTATGAGCTATAAATCTAATAATTTAAGTAGTCAATGTAATTGAAACAAAGAAAAATTATTTACATTACAATTGACTATTTTCAATCAAACATCGATGTACATGTTTCACGCATTTCAGGATATAATGTATAGGCAACTGATGAGTTAGTGAGAGGAGACGTGTAATTTTTACATTTTCCCATGTCAAATAATATGATTTGGTGCACGTGAAGATGTTATCGTTCATCTTACGATAAAAGAAATGCCTGTAATGGTAATTCAGAATTCTTTGTAACGTTACTACAATACAAAACGTAACAGCGCCAACTATCAATACGTTCGTTTGTTTTTGTTGAAGTAGGTACTCAATATCATAACATAAATATTATCAATTACACGTCCACTAGAAATAGATATTAACAAAACAATAAATAATTTCAATAAACGCAGTAAATCTTACAATTATCGTAACTACACGGCTTCTTAGTATTATCCGAGAATACCTACCACAGTATTCTCGGGTATTATCTCTCAAATATGAGTGTTGCCAATCATGTGACTCCTGGAAAATGTACAACCATTTCTACGAGAATATGATTCTATTACAGTTTGTCAAATCTAGAAGGAGAGCTGATAATTCTCTTTCTACTGCTCTCATCGACTTTTAACGAACGGGCATCCAATAGTTGGACCATATCTGAATTTAAAAAGTTCTTACTACGTTTAATATGGTTGAATATCAACACGGCAATGAGTAATGGTGTAAGATGAAATTCAAATAACAAAATGGAATCGAAAACAATTGAGAAAAGTGCTGATACAGCTTTATAAACTTTATAATCTCTTACTGTTCACTTGAAAAAAATCAGATATAGTAGAATATATGATATATGTATTTTTTTCAGTTTCAAATAAATGGATTCACGAAAGAGGACAAGAATTTTTGAGGCCATGTACCCCGGAGCGACCTCCAAATAATCTCATAGCGTGAAAATTCAACACCCAACTATTCTCAGAGAGAAGACTGCTCGACATATATGATGAACACCATTTTGAATCACAAACCACATTATTTGATTTTTTCAATACATATCGAATAAAAATGCTCTACTACTCTCAAACAAGGAATTTACACCTAGGTAATCCTGTTTTATTCTAAATAATTCTAGTTATGAGAGATAACCGAAGAAATGTAGATAATTTTCTGTAATATATAATATAAGATATTTTAACATACATGGCTTATTCAATTTTTTTTCACCAATTTCAAACTATTTACTCATGTACTCCTTATATAAATTATGCAGTAATATTAGTTGAAAATTGATAAGGCCAATAACTGTTTCAAAGTGATTTATTTTGTGAGTTACAGTTCCTTTAAAAATGTATGTTTATGAAAAAAGTATAATTTCAATACACTGGAATAGGTTATTTGTGAAACTTTTTCCATTTATTTGTGTTCTGGAAATCTATATTTGAATGAAAGAACTTTAGTAACAATGACCATTATATTTAATTCCTTTCTGTGATTTTTGAATGAGATCTATTAGATCTTGTGAAACAAGTTTAAGAAAGGTAAAATAATTTTCAAGGTTAATTATCCAGACAAATATGAAATATTGAAAAAATATTATTTTTAATTCTCATCAGCCAGCTGAATTTGATCAAGTTTCAGGCCATACTGATAGGGTCACAGCATTTCTACATTTGGTGTAACCGTTGAAATTGGGAATAAGAATTTAACTTTATGTTGTCCTTGCAAAAACTTTACATTTTTGCATAAATTGTTGCAATGGTTTGAGTTTGCCAAAGTAGTTATAATTTCTGAAAAATGTTTATTGCACTTGATCTGAATTATCAACCTCCTAAAAGCATAGCTGAGAAGCATTAATCGAACCTATATTGGAAAACACATGACTTTTGCTCTTTCTGTTTTTTTTTTCTCTAATTTATTTATCAACATGATACAACTTTTTTCTCTTCTATAAAATGAATTAGCTCTAAAATAGTGTGAAATTACAGCAATAGCCGCATTATTGTTAGAAATATCGTCCTCTGAACAATTTTTTCAAGTTTGAGATCAGAGAAGGAGGTTGGATTTGTTGAATACGATGGGTGGTCAATTAATTCGTAGGACTACTGCTTTTGACGTCACGTATCGCGACCGTTCTCATTGACATGGTTTCTTATTCAGTGATATGATTATTATCGCACACATGTGAAAAAGTTCGAGGCATTTGAGGTATCACTTTTTATGAGACTTCCTAAATTACACATATAGAGTGATAATTGGATTATCGAAGGCAATTTGCTTCAGATAGCCATGATCAAGCACTCTATCAAATGATCATCGGTATAATTTTTCTTGGTAAGGTTGCATTATCTTGATCCATAGGAGCTTTCTCAGTATCGAAAAATTTCCACACAGTTATTGTTTCACCGGTTTCCAAATAACCAAAAAGAGACGCTGTCACCTTTCCCGCCAATGTGGTAGTCTTGAAATTTTTTGTTGAATTTTGGCCATTTTTTCTCCAATAATTTGACTAACTGGCATATAATAGATACGCCGGAGATGAAATAGATTTCGACGAAAAAAATCAATATGATATATTGATGAATTTTGGGACACCTTGACATTCATTATCAAACTCACGAACAAATTGAACTTTTTATTTTTGTTCGGGATTTTGACAGCATGGCAACTGTTTGAACCGATAGCGATTCTTTCTTACGCTGCAGCATCTCCTGGAAACTAGATCAATATCAAACCACCCTCGTATTCTGCTAATCAAAACTAAAGGTGGAATATGGAATTTCACACAGTAAACCTCCTGTTATATGGGGGCTTGCATCATTTGCAGACTCCATAGTTTCATAGTCGGAAAAGTTTTCGATATTGCCTAAAATAATAACTAAAAATGTTGGCCTCATTTGGTTAATATTTATCACGCTGAAGATTTGAAAATCTGTTATGTTGCCTTCCACAAGGAAATGTCTCAAAATTCAAAAGGCGGAGTATAAGGATTTTTTTCAATATTTCAACAAAGTAGAATTCATTCTTTACTCGATGAGAGCCAGTTCATATCATTTTATATTTCATTATTCTCTCTTCCTGCGCTGTTGGTAATCTTTCGCCCTTTCAGTAAATTAGCTCCTCCTTCTGAAGCTCTCCGATAAGCTGCTGATAGAGCAGCAGTGTTAAGACTTGAAGGACCAGATGATCCGCCACTTGCCTTTGCTTTTTGTTTCATTGGCGATTTTTTGATAGACTGAAATTGAAAATACATGATTACTCATATGTTTGATCATAAACAATTAACTGGAATTAATTTTCAAGCTGTTGTCTTTTCAAGAAAAGTTGAAAGCTGGTTATTATGGTTTTAAAAAAAACATACATGCCTTGTTTTTTCCATTACGAATGTGTGAAGGGATTATGAATAGCGGAGATTGTAATGTACATTGACAGGCTAAATATAAAATAAGTGCCCGGTAAAATAGACATTCCAAATAATAAAAATTTCGACTTAGCTGAATTTTGGACCTTGGGTCCACCAGAAGAAATGAAGTGTCAAAAGTCTCCATAGATCCCGTCCTGTTAAAAAAGTTATTCAAGGTAAAAGGTCAACTTTTTTGTTTATTTGGTAGTTATTTGGATTTTTCTCGAAAACGGTGTGTTTTATCAAAATTATAGCCGAGAGAGTAATTGTGGATCATAAAACTGCCTACAAAAAAACGGTTATCAAACTTTTTTTTCTAATAATCTCCATTCCTACGATATCGTTATTCGAAAAGTTGGAGTTTTGTTACACATAAAAGACATTTCCACACTATACCTGTGAGGTAAAGTACTTCACTTGTTTTTTATTGTAGTTTCCCTGGTAGGCCACTCCACGATATGTTGTGAACAATTTTCATTGAAAAATATTGTATTCACTGCATAATGATTATTGATATCAATATATAGGTGATTGATTCAAACTGTAGCTCTGATTTCTGTTAATATTTCATTCTTATTCATACTCTTGAAATTCGACTTCAACAGTCATGTTTTCTTTGATTTCTTTTTCTTCATTTTCTCCTTGCTGGATCTTCATAAATTGTTCAGCTGTCTCTCTATCGATATTACATGAATCTACGAGCAAGATTGGGCTTGGCAATTAATCTACACTGGAGAACACAGCAGTCCTTCTCTTCTACAGCCACATACTACAACCTTTTTTGCAATTACAAAAACTAGTGTCCAGAAGTTTTTTGTAGTACGTGGGAGTATTGTTTGAAGCAGTCTCAAAGTATTATCTATTTAATTTCGAACCCCGGTCTTTGGGGTTCAGTTGATTGCCTAGCCACAACTGAACTCGATACGAGTTGACGAACAGAAGCTAATGTTGAAGGAAGACAAGATAGTTGTACATGTCTCTTGTTCACTGTTTTTCTTGCAAAAGTTAAATATCTATACTAGTCGATACAATTAATTTTTTTTCGGTTCCATAAACAGTAAGGAGAAAGTGAATTCTTGTATTGATTATCGTTCGAGGAGGTGAGTCACTTTCTTCAGATACCTTAGTGCAATCAATTAAATTCTTTCTTTCAAATAATTTAAATACTGATGTTTTACCCCCGTCTGAACATTGCTGATGTAGTATTGACATTTGGGATAATCAGATAAACTTTTTGAAGAATATATTTCTGTTCGCTGTTGAGCCTTTCCTGGTTTCAAAAAGTAAATAATTGAAGTCCGGGTAGTAGGTATCAAGAAATCAACATCTTCACCTACCACAAAAGTTGTACGTGTTGCATTGAATTATTCAATTGCTTTTTCAATGCATAAAACAGGTAAAACATGTGTAATGAAAATTTCTATGTTTTTTACCACTTTCATTTGTAACTAATGTATGAGTGTGAAAATGTACACATAGGACGAAACTGCAGTAACCTGCGAAACTGCAGAAACCTAGTAACAAGTTCATCCGTCAATTTAATAAAACAGGTATTGCCACGCGGACAAAAGAGTAGGCAGATGTTGTTCAAGGCCATGTGGCTGGATGGGACTGACTGAGGGACTGAGTTTCTTTTGAGCATATATTCTCAAAATTGTATATTTTATACATCTAATAAACACAAATAGAAACTTATATTTAGTGCCTGACTATGCATATACGTGGCATTTGTATATATGTAATATGTAAATCTTTCAACTTTTAGAACCTCGATATCTTAGGAATGGCGATTCTCGGAAAAAAAGTATCAGAACTATTTTTGTAGATAATTTCATGATTTGCAATTTTTGACGGGGCTGAATTTTTGATAAAACTTACCTGGGACTGAATAACTTTCAGCGCACATTGGATCTATGAAGATTTTGGCACTTTTTTCGGTAGAATTTGAAGAACATGAATATGTACATGGAATCTGTGGGTCGAATGCAGGTATATTTGAAGATCGGTGGTCAATGAAAGTTCTTCTGGGTAAAACACTTTTGTAACCAGTTCAAAGAAGGATGGGCAAGCTACTGAAACGGTTTCTGCAAAACAATAAATCAATTAATGAAAAAATTCTAGCAAGTCAAAATTATTTTCGAAAGTTTTTCCATTTTCCTAGTTATGTCTGCCATTAAAACAATTTTTGACACATTTTTATCACTTTTTCACTGCCACACGAAGTTAATATACTGAATGCACCCTTCCTAGTGCCTTTTGAATGTAACAAAATATCAATGTCGAACAACGTTTGTTATTATTTCATTAGGTACTTTTTCAAATTGACAAATTTCAATTCTCTAGATAATGCTGGTTTATGTTTCAGAATAGGACAAATTATCTCCGTAATATTGACTTTTTTATATTTATCCATATGAAGTCGTTTTTATTTGAAATTAACTATATTAGTCAGAAAAAACGGGATCACGCAAGTGAACAAAAATATATATCGATAAATTGGTGAATTCAATTGTAATTACTTTGGAGTTAATAATTCGATTCCCAAAAGTATTGGATAGGTACCTAATTCAAAGAGAGAACTGTCAAAAAAGGTACTGCAAGTTTTCTGTACAGTTTTATGATGTCTCTCAATATTTCCTTTTTTAGCAACGGAGACCGAAGTATTACATAACAAACACACATTTTCATCTTTAACTTCTGTAAAAAAGTATTGTTCTTCCCATTCCGAATGAAAGTGGTATGTCTTTACCTTCTTAAAACTGCCTGCCATAATATTATTTTTGTTGTTCTCTACTTACC